TCCCAGGCTCTGGTTTTGTAATCTCAAGTAGCCAAGGGGGAAAAAACAGATTAGCTAAAAGAACTATATAGTCGCCTTCTTGTTTGTGTTAATATAAGATGGTTTAACATACGTGAATGTTTTAACAGTTCAGCTTGAACAACAAAAAATAGCAAGGTTAGAATTATTTATTCCTTAGATAAAAACTCTGTTTCATATTTTGGGAAAACCATTGTTAGATATTTCATATCCTCTTTTATAATGATTTCAGCAATGTCCACTAGGGGTAAAAGATGATGATGGAGTGAACCTTGAGCACAATTCCAGTTCCAAAGAAACTTTTCTTTCAGATTGAATTTTCGTGTGCCTAAGTAAAACTAATTCTTCCTCCTGGAAGCCAAATAATTTTCATTGCTACACTGGAAATAATCACAATTTTGTATTTTTTTTTTTTTTTTTTTGAGATGGAGTCTCACTCTGTTGCCCAGGCTGGAGTGCAGTGGCATAATCTCAGCTCACTGCAACCTCCACTTTCTGCGTTCAAGCAATTCTCCCACCTCAGCCTTCTGAGCAGTTTGGGATTATAGGTGCCTGCCATCACACCCAGCTAATTTTTTGTATTTTTTTTTAGTAGAGATAGGGTTTCACCGTGTTGGCCAGGCTGGTCTCAAACTCCTGACCTCAGGTGATTCACCCAGCTCAGCCTCCCAAAGTGCTGGGATTACAAGCATGAGCCAACACGCCTGGCCCAATTTTGTATTCTTTTACATATATATGGATGCTCTATGCATCAAAACAGTATTTTCTTTATTATGAGTGTATGATTGAGATTCCATTATGAGTGACATAGTAAGTATTAATCTCATATTTCCAACTCCTAAAACTGTGCCTGGAACACAGGGCGGACTTAATAGTTGCTGAATTAATAAGTAACAGGAGAGTGGCAAAGGGAAAGGAGCAATTGGCTATTGTGTCTTGTTCAAAATACACTAACAAGTAAAATTTATTCATATACCTTTATCATTCATATAAATATACAATATTGGTGAATAATAAAAGCTTTTTGATGCTCTAACACTATGTGTTAAGTAAAATTTTATTTCAGTCAATATTATTCTATCTACTCTTTTACATTAAAGAAATGCTATTTCCACAAAGACATGGAATCAATCTAAATGCCCATCATTAACAGACTGGATAAAGAAAATGTGGTACATATACAACGTGGAATACTGTGCAGCCATAAAAAAAGAAAAAGATAATGTCTTTTGTGGGAACATAAATGGAAGCCATCATCCTTAGCAAACTAATGCAGGGACAGAAACAAATCATATGTTCTCATTTATAAGTGGAAACTGGCCAGACATGATGGCTCACGCCTATAATCCCGGCACTTTGGGAGGCCAACGTGGGTGGATTACTTGAGCTCAGGAGTTTGAGATCATCCTGGGCAACCTGGCGAAACCCTGTCTCTACAAAAAACACAAAGAGTAGTCAGGTGTGTTCTGTTTGGTTCCCTCCTGCAACCAATCAGGTTGGTCATGGCCAAGTCTTCTTTTGCATAGGAGTCTAACTTTGTAGCTTCACTTCAGGCTCTGATTGGTCACCTTCTGCAGCTAATCAGACTGGTCGTGAGAGACTGCTTCATTTGCATATGGTGTACACCAAGTAACCAATGGGAAGCCTCTAGAGGGTAGTTAAGTCCCAGAAAATTCTGTAACCGGACCCTTCAGCCACTTGCTCAGGTCCACTCCCACCCTGCGGAGTGTGTTTTCATTTTCAATAGTATCTACTTTTGTTGCTTCATTCTCTCCTTGCTTTGTTTGCACATTTTGTCCAATTCTTTGTTCAAAATGCCAAGAACCTGGACACAATAGCTAAAGTTGAGAAATACTACTTTTAATTATATAATTATGCTGTTATTTTTCTAATTTGAAAAATGCATTGACTTGCTTTGTTGAGAATTAAAATGGGCAGTTTTGTCTAAAAATTGCATCGTATTTTTTCAAAATTACCTGACGTTGAAGTACATTCAAAACAATTGGATACAATAAATGCTGAACTTTTTGCACTACAAAGGCAAGAGATGAATTATATGTCTATGAATCTATGAACTCTAATAGTGTGCCTTATCCCTCTTCCTCTTGCCCTAGGCCCAGATCTCCAAGAGGACTAAACTATGTTAAAAATAAAAATGTAAAAAAAGGAAAAGTAATTTAAACTGACAATTGAATACCCTATTTTCTACTTTTTACTTTTCAATAAGAGGTAGGGATGTTTCAAGTTTTGCAGACTAGAGCTTGTCAATTTTAGTTAGGTTCAAATCTAGTTTCTGTAGTTGAAAAGTGAAATTAGAGAGAATTCGGTTAGTGTTAGATTTTTTAAACAAAATTTGTTATTTACAGTGGGAATTAAATCTTAATATGCTAACGTTCAATGTGATTGATTTAGTATGTGCTTCCTATGTTCACTGTTTCTCTCCCCACCATTTTATTTTTCTCCATTACCATCGTTAAAATCCAGCACAGAGAGAAGGAGATCATTCAATGTACATAATGGTTTCCTCCTCTCTCCTTTTCCCTTTCAACTCTCCCTTTTTTCTTATTCCTATTCTATTTTCCCCGTTCCCTTTCCCTCATCTTCCCACTCTCCCTCCCTTTCCTGCATCTCTCCTTTTCCTTTAGTCCAAGAGAGAGAAGCAGAATTGGTATCTGGAAGTAGTAAAATATAATGATGGAAGAAGGCATTTCCTCATCACCATCACTAAGTTTTGTCACCTCTGAAAGCTGCTAGAAATAGTCTGCACTTACCATTCTTATTTTTCATCTCTCATTATTATTTAATATTTTTAAACTATAAAATATTACGAGCATACAGAACAGCACACAGCACATATATGCACAGTTTATTAACTGCCACTAACCATTCATCTGACTAGCTTTTAGATACTACACCCTTCCCTCTGATGATCCTGCTCTGACAATGGTCATGATAACTTAATTATAATTACTATATTGATCACTACTTTTATTTTTCAGAGTCCCATTTAGTTCCTTTTCAAATCCGCTTTATCTTTTATTTTTAAGTCTCTCCTATTTTAAAGCCTCCATTTAAAATAAATTTTGCAGCCAGGCATGGTGGCTCACACCTGTAATCCAAACACTTCGGGAGGCAGACGCAAGCAGATCACCTGGGGTCAGGAGTTTGAGACTAGCCTGGCCAACATGGCAAAACCCCGTCTCTACCAAAAATACAAAAATTAGCTGGCAGTGGTGGCACACACCAGTAATCCCAGCTACCTAGGAGGCTGAGACAGGAGAATCACTTCAACCCAGGAGGCCAAAGTTGCAGTGAGCTGAGAGCCCCCCATTGCACTCCAACCTGGGCAACAGAGCAAGACTCCCTCTCAAAAAAATAAATTAAATTAAATTTGCTATTTTTTATATTCAATACCTAAACTTTTGCTACTTTTATATTCACTACACAATAAATCCAGGAACTGCAGTCTGAGCAGATCTGGTTCTGCTTTCCACTGCTCCTGCTGGTGCTTACTCATAGTGCGTTGTCAGCTCTTATTCTCTGGAAGTTTATCCATGGAAAGTCATTGAGGCCCATATAAAAGTTGTGTTTCTTCAGAGAGGATTTGAGTTTACTCCTACCAATCTCCTGAAAGCACTACCATCTTAATTAAATTCTTAGCTTTTAATTAAGTTCCCACTGATAGAGTAAGTTCATATTGTAAACCTGCCTGTGGGGAGGATTCCATTTTCAAATTCCCAGGAAAGATTTTTTTTTTTTTTTTTTTTTTTGAGACGGAGTTTCGCTCTTGTTACCCAGGCTGGAGTGCAATGGCGCGATCTCAGCTCACTGCATCCTCCGCCTCCTGGGTTCAAGCAATTCTCCAGGCAAGATGTTTTAATTCCTCCCACCAAAAGCCAAGCTTAAGACATGAACACTGTCTTTCTGCCTCTCCTCTGCTACAAGTTTATTTCTAATTCTCTTTCACTGTGTAGTCTTGTGGTCCCAACCTTATAGGAGACTTCCTCCTGGATTTTCATCTTGGAGAGGCTCTAAATTATAGGTCCTCAGTAACTCCCACAGCCATCAAAACAGAATCTGAAAATTACCAGGATTGGGCAGATAACCTCCAGTCAAAAGCCAACTTGGGTATTCACTTACCTTCTAGTCTGCTCACTTTTCTTGTGATCGTTTTAACTCAAAAAAAAAAAAAAAAAAAGTAAAGTTTTACTGAATAAAAGCACAGAGCAGTGCAAATATCATGAATATATGTGAAAACTTGATAAATTTTTCACAACTGAATACTTCTACATAACCAGTACCTACATCAAGAGAAAGAACATTAGCAATCCCTCCCTTGATCTCCTTTGTAGCCACTAACTCCATCAAGAATTATATTCTGACTTCTAACAGAGGTAAGTTATATATGTATGTGTGTGTATTTGTGTTTTATATAAAATGGCAAAAATTTTCACTTCTACATGTTTTATTTTTTTTTATGTTGGCTACCTGATTTTTAAAAATATATTTATTATACTTTAAGTTCTGGGGTACATGTGCAGATCTCACAGGTTTGTTATATAGGTATACACATGCCATGGTGGTGGTTTGCTGCATCCATCGCCCCATCATCTATGTTAGGTATTTCACCTAATGCTATCCCTCCCCAATCCTTCCACCCTCTGCTATTCCTCCCCTAGCCCTTCACCCACAGGGCCCCAGTGTGTGATGTTCCCCTCCCTGTGTCTTTGTGTTCTCATTGTTCAACACTCACTTGTGAGTGAGAACATGTGGTGTTTGGTTTTCTGTTCTTGTGTTAGTTTGCTGAAAATGATGGTTTCCAGTTTCATCCATGTCCCTGAAAAGGACATGAACTCATCCTTTTTTATGGCTGTATAGTAGTATTCCATGGTGTATGTGTGCCACATTTTCTTTATCCAGTCTATCTACTTGTTTTAATCTGTGCAGATTCTATACTTTTCTGTCAGCTCAGTGATGCTTTTAAAAATAATAGCATTTTCTCTTTTTTAAATTTTAATTTTCAGTGGCCATGCTAGTCTTCTCTGTATTGTTCCAATTTTAGTATATGTTTTGCCAAAGTAAGCATGTATTCTTATATTTTATCTAGTATTTTTAGTTGTTTTCAGCACAAAGGTCATTCAAAGAATCTAATCTTCTGTACGGGTGGTCAATGGCTTTCTTGTTGTTAAATCCAATGGACTTTTCTTAGTCCTTCTCTTAATTGCTCTCTGTGTATCACTTCTTTTTCCTGAAATACACTCTTCCCTGGCTTTCATGATCCTACTCTCCTAGATAGTCTCTTGTTGCATTGATTTTATTAAGCAATTATTTACTGTAGTTATTTGAATAAATGATGCTCTCCTACTCCTTGATTGTAAATTCCTCGAGAACAGAACTTTTATCTTAATCATGAATACAGTGCTCAATATTGTGCTAATTCATTCTATCAACCAATATTTATTGAATATGTTCTATCTGCCAGGACCGTTCAGGAGCTGTATAACAAAATTTCCAAGGTATTTAAGGTTTCTGCTGTCCCCGACCTTAAATTTGTTAGGGAACACTGTAGGTACTCAAAAAGGTGTTAAAATGAATAATATAATAAAGAGTAGCAAGAGGAAGGAAGAAAAGAGGAAAACTGTCAGCCACAAGAGAGGGTAAGGTTATGTTTAGAAGAATGGCAATAAAAATGGCCTCAAGAGAAAGTGTTAAAATTAGCTGCCTAAGGTAGGTATTCTAGAACCAAATCTAGGTTTAGAGTGTCAGATAGTAGCTGTGATGAGAATAAGCTGGCTTAACTAGAGTAGGAAAATTTAGAAACAGGAAGCTAAACAATCTTCAACTGCTTTTGAATATCTTGCTTTTTATTACCGCTCTGTGTACATACCTTATTTAAGGGTATTGACAAATAAGTGAAGATAATGACAATGATTGTGAGAAATACATTTCATCATTCTCCTCATCCAAGCTTCCCCCTCAAAGGACAGGGACCTGTTCTCTCTCTCTTTCTCTGCATTTCAAACCCCTCTTTTATTACTTCTTCAAACATTTACACTTCTGCTTCTCACTTATGTGTATCTTCTCATTGTTAATTTCTATCTCTTGGTTCTCTGGAGTATCTTTCTTCTCTGTATTTTTCTATTTATATTCCCCTCACTTTTTTCTTTCCCATCACTCCTGTGCCTTTGTCTTGGTAAACTCTTTAATTTTAGGTATTGAAAGTTCAGTCCTTGACATTTTCACTTCTGTTATTCTTCTTCAGTCATCATAGCCAGTTTCATGATTTAAACTAGCAACTCTATGTGGCAGAATTCCAAATCTGACTTTCTAACTCCAGCATTTCTTTCATCAGTCTAGTCAACAACCTCATCAAGAGTTTATGAACCCCTGCCATATTGGTTGAATTTCAGTGTTCTATGTAACATCATAAAAGTTCATAGCATATGAACATTCTTACCAACATTTACAAAATAGATGGCTCTTGAATTTGTGTATGTATCTTACTGACAAAGGCTAGCATTTTCATAATCTGCATTCCTGTCCCCCACAAGTCACCACACAGAATTTGAAAAATAAACATCAGTGGCTTTAAAAAGTGCTTGGATTAAATAAAAAATTCTTAAGAATTTAAGCCTTTACCTACTTTGTGTTTGTTTTGGTCTATGATGCTTTGACTTTCATAAAAAACCCTTAAAGGAATAGTATGATTCTTATTCTGTTGATATATATAGTGTGCATTGCAAAGCAGAATTTATTAAAGCGAAAAAGTAAAGTATAAGCTTTTGGCATATGAGCTCTATTTTAAGATTAGCACTCCATTCATTGTAAATAAGAAATTACAGAGAAAGAATAAGAGAAAATTGACCCTATGTCCTAAAAATGCTAAAATGTTGACATAAACTTTCCTGACTAGTTGATACATGCACTAAACCATTCTATAACTCAAGTTTCAACAACCTGGTTATTCCTTAAAATGCTATGAAGATAAAATGGAAACATGTCAACTTAAACTTCATAGACACTGCCAAAACTGTTTGCAGCAACCTTCAGAAGTAGGACAATGAAACAAGTCTCTGGTGAATAAGTACAGTTATTAAATTTGACAATTGGTCATTTGACTAGATGAGTCTTGACAAACTGACCTATGCTAAAAGATAAGCTTAGGCCCATTACAATTTTAAAGAGTCTACTTGAGCAGGCAGCAATTCATGAATCAGGTAGCCCCAAATCACAAGCAGTTTGGGCTCTAGCAAGGAGGCATGAAGAGAGAAATTTTATAAGGGGTTCATGAGAGCAAGACAAACTATTTTAGGTGGAAAGTCTCTAGTTAGAGGTTAGTTGAAGGTTTCTGATTGGTACAGCTCCTAATTAGAGCTTTGTTAGCAGTTTCTGATTGGTTGAGTTACTCTGAGTTGGGTTTCAGTTTGCTTATGTAGGAATCCAGAATGCAGCCTAATGGCCTCCTAATTTTTCAACATCTATAAAAACAGGCGGATAGAGGAAAGACATCCTGTTTAGATTTTCTAAACCACCTTGGATCACAGAGTTAGATGAGGTTGGGAAAGCTGCTAGAGAGGATTTGCCATGGTCAAGGGATGCAATGAGTAGCTCTGTGTCAAAGGCTGTAGTCTAGCTGGAGCCAAATGGGAGTCAAACTCAAACATATAATGGGCTTATGACACCAATGAGAGCCAAGGAGAGGCAGTCTCAGCTAAGCAGTCACTAATGGGCAGTGATTAAGACAGTGAAAAGCCAACGCACTGCTGACACCAGGTTTAGTCTTTAAGAGTAAAGGTCAGCAGGGCACGTATACAGCCAGGAAGAGCACAAACATTTCTCCAAAGACTAGAGATAACAGAGAGGAGTTCAAGGAGAGCACCTGAGCCTGATGATTTCACCTTCATGGTAATGTTGAGAGGTTGATGAAGCTGCACACCCCTTTTCCATATACCCACATGCTGCCTTGAGGGAAAATTAGAGGAATGGATGAACCACTTAAGAGACCAAAGATTTTTATCAGAGAGGGGCTAAACAGCACCCACAAAGTAGTATTTAAATTATCAGACTGAACTAAGATTTAAAAGAGATTAGATATTTACAATTCTTCCCTCAGTTACAAATTGGAACTATGGGCCTTAGAAAGCCAGATTAATCACAGATGAAATAAATAAATTGTATTTCCCATTATATATCCAAATTGTAGTTTGAGGTAAAATTTGTGATCTTGCTGTGTTTATTGTTCAAGTTGTCTACATCATTTATTTTTTTATCTTCTTGATCATCAAAGACAGAATATATTAAATAATTTTATTACATTTATGTTTCTACCAATTTATCTTGTATGACTCATAATTTTTGTTTTATCCCTTTAAGTATTACTTTATTTATAAAACACAGCTTTATTATTATCACCATCATTATGCCTATCATTTATATAAGATAATCATTTTTGTCAAACTTGCTTTTTGCTTAAAATTTTACTTTGTTAGTATGTTGTCACTCCTAACTTTCAGTTTATTTGTTCTTTCTTTACTTTAAAATGTTGTGTGACCTTTTGCTTAAGATATGTCTCCTGTAAACAGCACATGGGGTTTTGGTTTGTTTTTTAGATGGAGTTTCACTCTGTCGCCCAGACTGGGGTGCAGTGGTGAGATTACAGCTCACTGAAACCTCTGCCTCCTGAGTTCAGGAGGTTCTCCTGCCTTAGCCTCCCAAGTAGCTGGGATTACAGGTCTTCACCACCATGCCCAGCTAATTTTAGCATTTTTAATTGAGATGGGTTTCACCATGTTGGCCAGGCTGGTCTTGAACTCCTGACATCAAGTGATCTGCCCCCTTGGCCTCTCAAAGTGCTGGAATTACAGGTGTGGTCCACCATGCCTGGCCTGTATTGGTTTAACTTAATACTAGAATAAAGTATTAGACATTCCCCACTCTCCCTATGCTCATTAAAAACATTACCAGGCTTCTGTTTTCCCAGTCCATTCCGGGTCTTTGTCAACATCACCTTGGATTTCTATACTCAGACAATATTGCTAAAACATCAGCATGCCTTACATTTTTAGGGTTTTTCCTTTCCAAGTTATTTTTCTTATTTTATAATTTTATAGTTTACATTTCTTATTTTTGTATTTTATATCTTTTGTAGCTGTAGTTACAGTTAGATATCTATATTTAAATGGTTTTAAAACTAACTGCCAGTTCTTTTACGAAGCTGACAGTTTCTTGTGTTTTCAATTTTGAATCTGCTAGAGTTTATACATTGTTTTTTAATTTGAGGTAGGTTACACGGGTGGTATGATAAATTGCTGAACTCTTGCATAAGACAGAATAATTTTCTGTTGCCTTTACACAAGAATAACAACCTGGGTGGGTATAAAATCATTTGCTTACAACTCTTCTCCCTTAAAATCTATGGAGAGTCATCAATTTCTTATAACACTTTGACCTATAAAGTAACCTGAAGACAAACTCTGTGTGTGTGTGTGCGTGCAACTTTTTCTGACTGGATGCTTTGTGAGCTGTCTTGATAGTATAAACTGAACAATCTTTCTCCCTTAATATTTCCTGCTATTCAGTAATTAGTATTCCAGGTGCCTATTCCTATTTTCAGTTCAAGCATACTGTATATGGAATTTAATTTTGATTATTGCAGATTTAGAGTTTGGGTTGTTTATTTTCTGTCACTGCATCATTTTTATTCTGTGACCCTGTTACCAGTGCCCTGTGTTCTTGAGATCTCCCATGATAGAAATCAAGAGAGATCACCAAACATAGCAACAAGAGTTTATTCAGCTTGTGCACAAGGGAGTTAGCCCTGAAAGGAAAAGGGAATGGGCTAATCCCTGAGGGTAGTGTGTGGGTGTGTTTTACAGGGCCTTTCTACAGGGAAGGATTACATCAGGGCACCTATAGATGTTTTTCTAGCATTTGTGCAGCGACTCAACATGCTTCTTCATACATTGTAGCAGCGTTAGCATTATAAATCTCTACCCCAGGCATGATTTTTAGCATTAAAATAAGGAAGAGGTAACTATAGGTTGGAGTCAGTCTTCAGAGCCCTGGGGAAGTCCCTAGCCCCTGA